AGCCTCAGTATGCAGATGACACCACCCTTATGGCAGAAAGTGAAGAGGAACTAAAGAGCCTCTTGATGAAAATGAAAGAGGAGAATGAAAAAGTTGGCTTACAGCTCAACATTCAGAAAACAAAAATCATGGCATCCAGTCCCATCACTTCATGGCAAATAGATGGAGAAACAGCGGAAACAGTCAATGGCTGACTTTATTTTTGGGGGCTCCAAAATCACTGCAGCCATGAAATAAAAAGATGCTTACTCCTTGGAAGAAAAGTTATGACCAACCTAGACAGCATATTAAAAAGCAGACACATCACTTTTCCACTAAAGGTCCATCTAATCAAGGCTATGGGTTTTCCAGTAGTCATGTATGGATGTGAGAGTTGGACTATAAAGAAAGCTGAGTACCGAAGAATTGATGCTTTTGAACTGTGATGTTGGAGAAGACTCTTGAGAGTCCCTTGGACTGCAAGGAGATCCAACCAGTCAATCCTAAAGGAAATCCATCCTTAATATTCATTGGAAGGACTGATGCTGAAGCTGAAACTCCAATACTTTGGCCACGTGATGCAAAGAGCTGACTCATATGAAAAGACCCTGATGCTGGGAAAGATTGAATGTGAGAGGAGAAGGGGACAACAGAGGATGAGATGGTTGGATGGCATCACCGACTCAATGGACATGAGTTTGTGTAAACTCTGGGAGTTGGTGATGGACAGAGAGGCCTGGCGTGCTGTGGTCCATGGGGTCGCAAAGAGTCAGACCTGACTGAGTAACTGAACTGAACTGAACTGAACTGTACATGGTATGGCATAGTTCTCAAACTCTTTGGCCTGACTTCCCCTACACTCTTAAAAAATCTGAGGACCCCAAGAAACTTTTCTCTGTGTAGGTTTTATCTATCAAGGTCTGCTGTATTAAAAATTAAAATTTAGGAAAGTAAAAAGGATACTTATTAATTCATATAAAAACAGCAATATTAATCCATTACTTGTTTAATACAATGAAAATATTTCAAAGAACAATTTTCCCCAAAACAGTTTAGTGAAAAGAATGGTATTGTTTTCAAAATTTTGGAAATACTTTCACTGTCTGGCTTAACAGGAGGCAGCTGAACTTCGTTAGTTCTGCCTTTAATCTATTGCAAATTTGTTGTTTTGGTTGAAGTAGATGAAGGAAATCTAGTCTCACACAGATAGGTAGTAGGAAAGTGGAGAGGTACATTAATAGCCTTTTGAGAGAATGGTGGCTATTCTGCTTTGATACTGTGCCAAAGCTTGACAATTGGTAGTTTCTCAAAGGTTAATTGCAGTGTGGAATCTGAAATCACACCAGTGAACAAACATTTCCTCCCCTCCATTGAAATTCATTGGTCTGTCTTGCACTTTGAGTGGATATTTTACTGTTAGGAGTATAATTATTTTAAAAAGTACAAATGCAAAGTAGTTAAAAGTGCTTTCTTTTTCATTCAGGAAGTTCACAAGATTCCTTGGGGAAATAAGAGGTGTTTCTGCATATTGTTAATCCAGACTGAACAGGATGTGAAAAGGGGGATGTGAAGTTGTGCACACATATTATTCCACAGTTAATCACCAGGTTTTATTCCTGTTTTTATCTAATACAGATACCCAAACACAGTCTCAGTATGATGAACTTCTCCAGCCCTTTTCTTGTGTAACTTCTCTTTTAGAATTAAATCATCATTTTTTTTTTCTTAGTTGATGTGAAACATCCATAAACTGAAATTAGGTTAGTATTGATGCCAAGTTGTTTGGAAAAAAGGGTATTAACTTCTTAGCTTTAGGGCACAAGATAATTGGATGAGGGAGGTTAGAAAAAGATGCTGCTTTTTTACAACATGACATAACACTCCACAATCAACTAGTGGCATTAATGTTTTAAAAAGTTTTATATGAAATAAAAAAGTTTTATGTGAAATAAAAAAGTTTTATATGAAACCAGTTATAAAACATCACTTGATGTAAAAATACAGTCACAATCATAAACTGCATTGCATTCAGATTTCTTTTCTTGCTTTTGTGTTGATCCTGTGGGATTAAGCTGTCAAATACTGATGTCTTATATTCTAAACTGTATAGCTTGAGAGCCCAAGAATAGTAAATATGCACAGAAAAAAAAAAAAAGACTGGAAAAAAATACATCAGAATGTTGACAGTAATGACCTCTAGGTTATGGGTCTATGGGTCACATTTTGTTTCTTCTTTGTCCTTTTTAAACATTGATTAGGATAAATATTTATTGAGTATTATGTGTCACTTATTGAATGATGGAGTTAAAGCAAAAAGCTGATTGAGCTTCTGCTTAGTTGGGTCTTCCATAGATCACTTTTTATATTTCTCATAATAAATGTGAAATACGTCTGTAATGAGATAAATATAGTAAATATTTAAACCAAAATAAACTGAAAAAATACACTGGCTCTTTTTCCTACGTTTTCGGTTTTGGTGGGTGAGAGGGTTGTGGGTTTCTAATTGTTTCTCCTTTAAGTACCAGTGTAGAGATGCTTTAAGAGTCAGTTATCCTGAGTATCATTCTCTATGTAGAGGACTCTTTATTACGGGCTTGATTCCACATAAATTGAAGCCTTGATTTTGGAAAGAGGAAGGAGTAGCCATTTTCTGGGCTTTGTTTTTGGTGGTGCTTTTGAGCCGTATGAAGTGTTCCATCCAAAGGTTCTCTACTATAACTAAGAACCATAACAGGGCTGGATGTGACACCTGAATGGACCCTCACTGTTTTGCTGCTGGTTAGACTTTTGTGACTCACCTAGGAGGCAGAGCAAAGGCAAATGACAGCAGAACTTGAAAATTGGCTTCTCTCTGTGGCTTGAACAGTTTGGAAAGTGTACATCTTCTATTCAGGGCTCATAGGGAAACATCTGGAAATAAAATTGGAACTTAATTACAAAAGAGAACGTTCCAAAAGGACTCTTACTTCTTATATGTGAATACTTCTTAGCTACTGAAAAATAATGGAATCCTTATGGGCTCTGAGTTTATGTTTGATCTGGGTAGGATAGAACAAGTTTGATGAGCAGTTTTTGGAGTGAAGCATTGTTAGAACCAGTCTCTTTCCTGTTTAGATAAATACATAATTCTGAAAGTTTTGCAGAGATGCTTGACTCTGTAGGAAGTATCAGAAACTTTTCAGTATGTCAAAATATAATGTACTATATTTGTGAGACAAAAGTCATTACCAATTGTAAAAGTGGCCTCCTGACTAGTTGTACAGAGTAAAGGAGTTGGAAGTCACCACAAATTATTTGGCAAAGACCTGTGAAACTGACTTACTGAGCTGAACGTCCATGAAGTTCTACTCTCAAGAAATTATGGAGCTTAGCAGAAAATAAAAATCAAGTAGAGGCTGAGAAGATTCGGAGAAGGAATAGAATTTAATTGACTATCTAGAACAAATGCCTGAGGTTAGATTAAAAAAAATAGGATCTGTTCATCTAAAATGAAAGAAGTTTAGGGGACAATGATCAGATTCTTTAGAATCTTGGTTCTGCATGAGTAGAACATGGCCAGAAAAATGAGGGATCACTCCTTGAAGGTTGAGAGTTCAAAGACATAAATAATGTATCCAACAAGTAGTGAAATTATTGAATTCATTTGCTCCAGTGGGTATGACACAACACACAACGAGGATGGCCAAGAAGATCGTCATGATTTCTTACTGAGTGAGGCAAATCAAATGAGAAAATTGTGGTACTGTATACGCTGATTAGTGTGTGTGTGTTTTTGTAGAGATGTTTGTGAGGACGATTACCAAATGTAAATGGTGATGGTCTTAGGATGATGGGATTGTAGGTGATATTTTCTTCATTATTTATTTCTACATTCTTTAATGTGTTTGAATTTTTAATAAAGAACTTATTTAGTTGTAACTCAGGGAGGTATTATTTTCATACTTGCATTAGAAATAAGATATAAAATAGTCATATAGTTATTAAAAATTTTCTGGATTTGTAAATCACAATGAATTATGTAGATGAAGGTATTTTGTTCAGCTTTTTAGGGAGGGGCAGCCTGCACACTGCTTCTCCTATGTCAGCTACAGTAGCTTCCCCAACACACCTTGGGTCTACGTCAAGATGGCAGTTCTTGGACTGTTTCATTCTTAGCTCAAAATATACTATTGGACATATACTTTTTTATATGCTCTGGTGTTCAATGTGTCATCTTGCTTCCATACTTCCCTACCTGTAGTCTTTTCTTCCCTAATAGCCAGACTTTTAAAATATAAGAGAGAACTTTTCTCAAAAGTGGCCAGTGGTTTCCTGTCTCACGATAAAATCTGGAGTCCTCATGCTGACCTGTGAGACCCTAGCTGGTCCCGGCCTCAGCCGTTCTCCCCTTCCCCCACTCTGTTCTGTACCTCAGACCATTCTGCATGTTCCCACTGAGGATCCGGCGTGCTCTTCCCAGCTGTCTTCTTGGCTGTTCTTGCTTCCTGGTGTCCATTCGAATGCTGCCCCATCCAAAAGGAGGTTCTGACTTTGCTGTCTACTGTCTCTTATTCCTTTCCTCCCTCTGTCACTCTTTGTCCCCTTGCACCCAGTTTCCATTTCCTCCTTAGCACTTATCACCAACTGACATGCTTATTTTATAGCGACTATCTTCTACTAAAATGTAACCTCTAAATGCAATCACTAAAATGTAATTTTATGTCTTCTATCATGGCTACGGCCATATTATGTAGGGCAGTGCCTGACACATAGTAGGCTCTCAGTAAATATGAGTTGAATGAAAGAATTCACAGCCCACTCCAGTATTCTTGCCAAGAAAAATCTCATAGATGGGGGGCCTGACAGGCTGTGGCCCATGGGGTCGCAAAGAGTCAGACACAGCTGAGATGACTGAGCACAACACACGTGGCCATGCTTCACAGGGCAGTGCCCGGCAGGGTGGGCTCTCGGTAAATGTTCATTGAATGAATGAGTTCCTGTCTCAGTTCTCCATTTTGTGTCCTGACATTTTTGCCTTGCAGAGAGGTGGTTACGTTCAACCATTTCCTGGAAACAGCAGCTGAGAAGGAGGTTCAAGGAAAAGCTCGGCTCCAGGACTTCATAGAGAATCTGCTGCACCGGGTGGAGCTCGCGGAAAAACAGCTGGAGTACTATCACAGCCAGCAGGGGGCCGGCCTCTGCGGGGACTCCCGAGAGCACGCGGTGAGTCCTGCAGGCCCGGTGTAAGGGTGGTGATCTGTCAGGTGGGGGCCAAGGACAGAAGGAAAAGGTGCTGGGGAATGACTTGCAGGAATTTTCTAGACATCGTTTGAAACCCAGCCACGCCTGTGTTGAGGAAGTGATAGAGGCGAATCTAGGACACCTGGGAGTAAGTGAGACCCTGGATGCGTGATCTCCGGTTCCTCACCTCCATCTCCACATTAGGCTGCGGTGGTAGAAGTACTTTTATGTTGCAGCATAACAGTTTGAAGTATCCAAAGAAATCATCTGTCCCAATCATGTGTCAGGTGGATAGGAAGTTATTAATATTATCCTGTTTTTGAGCTCATCAAGGAATCATCTGAAAACTTTCATGCTTTTTAGTTAGCGAAAGATTTAATCACTTTTCCTCCCCTTAATAGGAAGGGAAACACTTGTTGGTAGTCTCTGTAGGTGAAACATTCTTTAAGTAGATTTTCGAAAAGACTAAGCAAAATTCCGCAGTGGTATTCTATAATAGGATTTTGCATACAATTTTACATATGGTTGCAGGGACTTAAGAAATCCCCAGAGCCCAAATGAGAACCCTGAATATAGATGAAGGTCCAACTCTCATAAGTGGCTTGATCAAGGTTGCCTGGTCTCTTTGGGGGGTGGGTGGGAGGTGGGTGGTTTACAAATAAGCACACTTCAGATGAGGGATGTGGGTGGTCACATTTACCCTCTATACAGTTTCCTTGATGGTATAAACAACAAAGCCAAGGAATGGATTTTTGAAAACCTAAAGTGGTTTATTTATAACATTTTCATCATCAATTGGATTTTATTTACCCTTACCATCTTCTCAGAAGATTTAAAAATGATTCTTTTACTAACCCTGAAATAAGGATAAGAAAAATAGGAAACATTTATGCTAACCAAAAGATTAGTAAGGTTGCTGTTGGTTGATTGAAAAATTTAGGTTGAGCAATCTGGAAGCCAAGATTTAACAGGAAACATGATTAAATAAACAAAGAAGGAACGAAATGAAATGCAGGTTGATGAAAGAAGTAAGACCGGAGGGAGAGACACAGATAGCAGGAAAGTACAAAGACAAGGAGGAAGTAGGGCTTGGTCACTGACTTTTGGAGGGAGCTCTCATCACCCTGAGAGGTGTCAAGGATGAGCTGTTTGATTTCTGAAAGAATGGGCAAATGTGGTTTCCCCTGTTTTCACATATAGTCCTCTCAACTCTACTCTGGGCCATAATGTGCCATGTTATGAGACAGTCTACGAATCCTAAAACCATTTTTCCTTTTTACTTAGTCTATTTCTCATAATAAAATACATTTACCATGTCTTTGATGTAATTTAACTACTCAGTCTGGCCTCTCTGTGTATCTATGGCTGTGGATACATGGAAGAACTTGGAAACTTTTCGCAGGATAAGCTAAGGGTCTTATCTGTAGTAACCTGTTTGGTCCAGCTTAGAGAAGGTGCAGGCCTCTGGAGCCTCACCTCTGCCTGGGAGAGCTTCTTGTCTGGGTGCACCCCAGAATGAAGCAGAACTTTCAACTCCCAGCGCCTAAACTCCCTCCTCCAGAACTCTGGGGAATGCCATCCCCAGCCTGGCTGGCTCTCCCCTTTTCCACCAAGGCTGCTCTGCAGAAACAACACGGCCTCTTCATCTCCCTTCTTCCCTGCCTCCCTCCCTCCCTCTCTCCTCTTCGCTCTTTTTCTCATTACCCCTCAAGAGAGTAATGACATTTCTAGATTGATGTGTAACTTCATTCTTTCTAGCCTTAAGATTCTTTTGTGCACTAGAAAAATTTCCTTCCCCCTCACAATTAGCACCTTTTCTGAAATAATGTTTCGGCATTAATCCCCTTGAGCATTTATGTTCTTTTTCACCTGGCTGATTTCTAAAAATGCAATGTGCTTACTCAGATAATTTGTCTGTATGCTCTGAAACATGCTGTCGAATTAGACACAAAGTGACCTAATATACCATCTGCCAGAATTACTCACAGACCTGCTCAAATAGAAGGTCATGAAATAGCTTGGATAATCTTATTTTAAGCATTGCATTTATTTTCTGCAGGTTGCTAAATTAGTACTAGCAGTAATTCATTACCATATTTATTGGGGATGCATCGCTTACTGGGTGCTGAGGAAACTGCTGTGAACGAGATCGATGAAGTCCCTGGTCTCGGAGGAGGGACACACAGTAAGCAAACACATAAGGAAGATAATTCCATATAGCGAATAACTGCTGTGAAGAATAAAGTAAGATGACATGTTTGAGATGGTCACTTTAGCTTTAGCAAAAAGCTTTCGAGAAAAGCCCTGCTGAGAAGGCAGCATTTGCACTGTGACCTGAATGGCAAGGAGGCAGTTCTGGAAAATTTGGAAGTGGAACATTCTAGGCAGAAAATAGAAAGTGCAGCTGCCTGAGGAGGGAATAGGCTTGGCACATTTGAGTGGCGGGAGGTAGGTCGGAGAGGCAGGAGGGGTCCAGATCAGGCAGAAGCTTCTTGGTCATATAAGGAGTGTGGACCTGTTCCATCACACACAGGGGAAACCATTGGAAGGTTTTAAGCAGGAGATGATCTGTTTTAGCAGAATCACGCTGCTGCTCTGGGGGAACTGATGGAGGGGTGCAAGAATGAGAGATGGGTTATGTTGTGGCCGATGGGAGGGGACAGCAGCTCAGATAGAGCCAAAGTAGAAATAAAAGGTATAGGGTATGTTCTTGGAGGAGAATTGACAGGACCAGTTGGCCTGAATGAAGGATTAGATTTAGCTGGTGAGGGAAACTGAGTCAAGAATGAATTCATGGTTTTGGCCTAAAAAGTTGGGTATATACAGAAAGGGAAGTTGGAGGAGGGCTAGGTTTCCAGTTTCCCAAAACCTGTCATAACCTGAGACACCATGTTTGTGCTTTAGATGTACTTAGATTGGCTCTCAGTACAAGGTTGTTTATATTTTTTTTCAACCAGAAATGTTGACCAGGGCCTCTCTTGATACCCATCGGCATACCCTTCTCTCCCTAAATAAAAAGACAGAGTAGTTGGACCAGGAGAAAATGGAGGTAGGTGGATTGACTGAGTGGGAAGAGCATTTTCATCTGCCCACAGCTGTGGATCCAGAAGGAACACTGGCCTCTTGTGTTCACAAGGAGGAGAGCAGAGGGAATTCTTTGGTGCCTGTGATAACAGGCACCACCTCCACCCACAAACCTCATAATCCGTCAGATCACTGTTGGCCTTTTCCCCAGTAAGGGAACATGTGTGTGTGTGTGTACCTGTGGGCGTGTGTGCGCGCGCGTGCACACACACACACACACACACACACACTTTTGAATAGAATTCCAAAGGGAATTATGTACCCATATGCAGCATCATCACATTATATGTTTACATACACACATAAAGTTGAAAACATTGTTAAACCTCAATAATAATGATTTTTTTTTAAGTGGGAAAGTATTTAAAGGAAGAAAAACCCTGTAAGTTTGTACAGTTTATAGATGCACTGAAATCTGTTCAAGGAGCCCAGCCAGTTGGAGCAGGGGGCATGGGTGGACTGGAAGAAAGAGAGTAGAAATGCTGATGCCTCCGGGGTTCCTAGAAGCTGCCAGTCTGGTGCTTGCTGGAGCCATCTGTTCCCGCTTCTTTGTGTATTACAAGACCTCAGGACCCTCATGCAAGGAAGGTGCCTTTTTCTGTTCACATTTACTAATCCCATGCCAAACCCAGCCGGCGTGGACAGAGTTGGCAGTAATGTGACATTCAATTGTGTCCCAAGGCAGAAGGCAGGAATTCCATCTCACCTTCTTGGGCACCAAGAAGTCTGTTTAAGAAACCTTTCTGATTTTCCCCTGTCTGTGGCTTAAGCTGCATACAGAAAACTTGAAGGAAGATCCTGTTATTCCAGGCTTGGTTTTTTGGGTGATTTGAGTATAGCAGCGGTGGATGTTGGCCACACTGGGCCTAGATGGCCCTTCCTCCACATTCTCTTTGTCACCCTCTTCTTCTGTCAGTCTGCCTGTTCATGTGACAGCACTTCTTTTAGTTGAAGGCTGCATGCGGGAAGTTGGGAACTGAAGCTTGGGAATACACTAAAAATACACTTGCTTATAAAGTGTTTGGTGACATCTGGAACACAAAATGATAATTATCAATTTATTCTTCAAATGGTGTTCTGAGCCCAGCCACAAAAGTGCATGCAGATATTTCACTGAGAGTGGAAAATTATCTCAATGATAGATGGCCTCAGGACAGTTGTGGAGTTGGGTTTTCGTATGCACTCATTTTAGAAATGATGTATTTTAGGCAACAAACATTTGGTGCCAATTTCCCCTTTAGTTGATACACTGTGACCAGTCGTAGCTGTGTAAATTAGCTGCAAATACAGCCTGAATCAATCAAGAAATAATGGCACATCATTCCAGTTTTTAAAAACATGTTTTTTCAAATGTTGTTCTCTTGAGGGGCTGTTTAACTTTTTGAAATTTTTGAGATCTGCTGATACTGGCTTCTTGGAATTCTCAGAACAGGGAGCCACAGAGGCTTCCTGAGTAAGCAGAGCTGAGCATGAACCATTCTTGTTCGCTGCAGTGATGGATGTGCCATGGGCGGTGCTCCTGATAACGGTCACTGGCTTCCTTAATGGGAATATAGTTTCTTAAAAACATAAGGAGGATTTTTATAAGACCAAACCCAACCTTTAAGTGAAGTAATATTTTGTCTTATTTGTTTTCCTTCAGCTTACAGATATCTCCTCAAATAGGAAACCCAAATGCCTGTATGTATATCTTTTTATACTTAGACCATTTGATTGCATAATATGCCTTCCTGTTGCACTTTTTATGGTATCTATAATATAAATGGATTTGAGAGCTTCAGGTGAAAATTTACCTGCTTATTTACCTTTCTAAAAATGTGGATGTGACTTTTATGCTAATGGTCTATGAGTATATGGCAGTATGATGGTATTACAGGAGTCTTTTTAAAGTATTGTGTAATAGAACTTTCTCATATTGTGCTATAGTGTAGTCATATAACTCTATAGTGCTATTAATGTAGTGTGCACACTGATATATATTTTATACATAAATTTATACTGTGAATCATATACTTTATGATAGCTGTACTACAGATTTGTTTGAATCCCCTAGAAGTCACTTAAATAGTCGAAAGGTATAGGTTCTGGTCTCATCTTCTCCATAGACCACTGTGTGTTACCCTCGATAGTCATTTAGGTTTTCGATGCCTCAGGTTCTATCACTGGTAAATAAGACTTAGTAATATCTCCCTGGGAATTTAGTATCATGAGATCATTTTCATGAAGGCCATCGTATCAATATGGAAGGAAAACTATCAGTACACAGTATATTACTTGTTTTACTGGTAGCATTATTGCCACCTTAGCATGTAGGAGTGATTGTGCCATGAGTAGTTTTTATTCTTTTAAGGATTTAAATCTTTCTTTTTATCTACCTCCTCCCACAACCATCTGTAGAAGCCGAGGGCACCTGCATTCTGTGTGTAACCACCCTGATCTCAAGACCCATTTCCATCCAAAGGGAAGGATGAAAAAAGCCAAGGATGACAGAGCCAGCGTGCAGCCTGCTAAGTCCCTGCATGAACAGACCGAGTCCCCAAGAGAACTCTGCAGACCAGCAAAGAAAGGGGAGCCTCTGGGGTTTGGCCGGAAAGGCAACATCAGACCCAAAATGGCCAAAAAAAAGCCGACAGCGATTGTGAACATCATCTAAAAGGGTGGGTGGTTCTGAACCACATCACTGGGCTTTGGGAAATATGTTCTAGGGGCCATCAGTAGTGTCCTTTTGGACACACTGCATCATAAAACATATTTCATGTCAATATGGGCACCTGGATTAACCAGAATTTAACAAATGGGAATCTCAGTGAACCAGACTTTTTTACAAGTCCCTTTTGGAAGCAGGAGGCAGATTACAGAATTGTTTTTAAAAAAATGAAATCAGTCTTATTCCAAAGTTTTAGTAAAATGAAGCTAGCTCCAGCTCTTAAAATAATTGGCCCTGTAAAGTTCTATGAAATAAAAATATTTTTGTTTTTAACCTCACCCTCAATTAATTTGGGAGCCTCCAAAATAAAGCTTCTTGTTTTCCCAAGAATTCTGGTTAATCGAAATTCCAGTGTTAGGGTTGCTTCAAGGACTCATTCCGTTAGACTTCAGTTGTCATCTCGACAGACTGTTTTCCAGTTTGTTCAATTCAGGTTTTTTGTTTCCCTGGATGTATTTTCATTCTTATTTTGGTGCCTCTCTGCTTTCTTCCTTGGCTGGGTATTCTGTACTCTAAGACTGTGCTGCCAGCCTCTATCTTAATAGCTGCTTCTACTGCTGAGGTTGCGGAGGACAGTAAAACCTTTATGATCAGCACCCGTCAGCTGTTCAGGGTCAGAATGGTTGGATACCAGTGGACCACACATTTAGTGCATTGCAAGCCACCCGGAGACACCACGGATGTTACTCAGATCTTTCCTAAGACCTGCTTCCCCGGGGCAGTGCGGGGAGGGGTGGTTTGTCAGCAACCTCTCTGTCAGCTATAGGCATGACTTTCTCCTTGCTGGCCTGACTTTTCCATCTCTTGCTGCTTCTGTGCCAATTTATGACTAAAATACACGTTCTTACCTTTCAGCCAAGTATCTGATGTATTTGTTGTATATGGCTTTCTAAAGTGATTTCTGAAATAAACAATGCATGCGGGATCCAGAATCTGAAATCATCCTCCCCTCTCTGGCTCCCTAAAATGGCCTTTGTTTCCATAAAGAACCATCTGCCATGAACCTCCTGCTTTACAGTTTTCTTCAAGAACAAGTTTCTGTGTTACTTTTTAAAATTTAGCAATATCATCAGGTCTCCTGCGGAGTTTATAAGTGCTGACATTCCTTTGGAAACAAGAACAATTATGTCCACAACTATATACATATATGTATAACAAATACAAAATGTATATGTCAAGTATATTAATAACTTATTTTTAAATACTCATGAAAAAGGTGTGTGTTGGTGGTGGGTGATTTTTAAACTATATATTGTTTATGTAAATTGAATTCTCTGATTTTAGAAGTTAAAGCTTAACCTAGTTAACATCAGTAGGATTATGATTGTTACTGCAATAAGCATCAGATTAGCAGTGCGTTAAAAATAGGTAACAAAGCAATTACGTAAAATGCCAGTAAATTGAAAAGTGTAACTTATACAAATACTTTGAGCCTATCATAGTGAAATGTTGATTTTTGAGTTTTCACTTGACTTTCAACTCATGGGGATAGGCCTTTCATGTGGTGTATAGGCAGCTATCAAGTGGTGAAAAACATTGCTGTGAATATCACTGTTAGGATAACACTGTAAAAACTGTAATGTTAAAATAACTATTTATTTGGAGAATTAACCTCTTCCAAGGTTATTTATTATTGATGTTTATACCATGACTGCACTTACCTTTTACATACTAAAAATCTGACTGGTTTGTTGTACTGCATGCTCTTTGTCCCATAATGTGTGTGTGTAATGACAGCAGTTTGCTTTTAAAGGTTGTATAAGCCAAATTTTTCTCCCATTTTATTTAATGTAACTTATGTTTTCAGTTTTCATTTAATATGCCTTGAGGGCATGACAGCTCTCTCTGACAGTGGTACCCAGTGATCTTCAGAAAGCACTGTAATGTCATATGATGCAAGACAAATGATTTTAAAGTTTATTATATTAAAATTTTTTTAAGTTGTAACTAAATTCTGATCCTTATATAAGGAAATGCACTATGTATATTGTGCTTCCTTAGAGACATAAATTTGGTTTTGAAACATGCGAGCCACCTCAGTCTAAAGGATATCCCATTTACCTGCCATGGCCTGAGCCTTGTGCCATGTCCCACTTGGGTGTTATTTTTAAATGCATTCTATGTCCTCATAGGTAGTCAACCTCAGAGTTGATTTTTTTAAGAAGTCACCAAAGTTTTCTAGGAAAACATGTTAGAGTTTAAGCTGAAGAATGGATCTAATTTTATTATTTGTTTTGTAAGGAGGAAGTCTTTGTTTCAACCTGCTTTCATTCTCTTTTCCCAAACAAGGTTACAGATTCTTAACTGAAAAGTTTAGACTACTTAGACACTGTTTTCGGGTATTCTGCAGGGTCATTTTGTTGTATGGAAGTTGGAATATTCTGTTCCCAGATTTTAAATAAAGGTTTTTAGATTATGAAATACTATAATAATAAAACTATATTTATGACTAATGTGTTGGTATGTTTTGTCTAGCTGGAATGTTTCTGGGGAACCAAGCTGGTTCATGAATGAGCTGTTCATTGTACATGTAAACACCATGATCTTATACCTGTAAGTTTTCTTAAGAGCTTAGCTTGATCATTTTTATCACAATGCCTCTATCCAAAGGTTCTTTTTACATATGTTCACACTGAGAAGTCCTCATTAAAAGCTCATTTGGCACTTTTCTCCCATCTTCCTCCACAACCATGAGTAATTTTCCTACAATGTATTTTTAAACTTGTCAACTCTTAGCAAAAACCATGAACAGATTTCACAGTGTGTATCTCAGATGGTATATGCTATACATCCTAGTCATTATAAGGCTCAGAATGTGATCAGGTTAGTTAACAGAGTTGTGTCACAAGTAGAATTACTCAGCCATGGTCTTTTAAGAACCATAGAATTAGGAAAATGTAGGGGATTCCATTTGTGCAGGAGCTGTTAGAGCCGTTAGAGAGATGACTCGGTCTGCTTTTATGCTTACTTGTGTTGAAGTTAATGGGTTCACCAGGTTATAATGCTCCTGAGAAATAACTGTGACATTCTTGATTATCTATGGCCATTAGAAAACATAAATAAATCCCTGTATCTCAATTCTGTTCAGTCTGGGTCCTTGAATAATGAATTCCAGAGATGGCATGCATGCAGGAACCAAACACAATTCCTGGAAACATTTCGAATATTTAAAAGGGTGGGGGGACTTCAGAAATTGTTTTTCTTGTGGTGAATTTTTTTCTTTTTTGTCCATGTTCTATATGAGTAAAAAATGCACACATCTGAATTTTTTATTTAAGAAAAGGATCTTCAACCTGTAGCCCAATGATATGTTTACTCCGGATTTGCAGCCATTATTCTGTACCAGAAATGAATTTTTTCCATTCAAGGAAGCTCACACACGGGCAAGCTTGGCTATCCTGCCCACCCTATAGGGGCTATGCTATGCTACATTCCTTTAGTCATGTTTGACTCTTTACGACCCTATGGACTGTAGGCGACTAGGCTCCTTTGTCCATGGAATTCTGCAGGCAAGATTACTCATGTGGGTTGCAATGCCCTTCTCCAGGGGATCTTCCCAACCCAGGGATCGAATCCACATCTCATTATGTTGCCTGCAATGACAGGTGGGTTCTTTACCACTAGCGGCACCTGGAAAGCCCCACGTAGCCCTAGGATTCTGTCATATGTGATACTGCATTATTGTAAACATTGGCTGCATAAAACTTAGTGTTGACATCACATTGATCTTGGAGATTTTCCCCCACTGACTTGGACTTTGTAAAGGTTTCTGTAATGCGTATCCACAGTTATCCTTATAGAATGGTTTTGAGGCAGGCAGGGATGAGGCGGTATCACTTGTTTCTCTTAGCAGATGCAGGAACAGCAGTTGGGGAAATGAGAAAGATACATGTGGCAGTGTTACCTCAGTCAGAACCAGGTGCTTCCCAGAAGCATCTCACCTTACTAAAATGTGGTTTCAGTGTTTAAAGAGAAGGTACATTCCTTGTTTACAGCATGGCTTCTGAATGCAGGCCAGCACTTTGCCTGGTGTTCATTTGAGTCAACAGCAATTCTGTCCAACACTGGGAGAGAGATTGGCAGCGTTGGACTTGGTAAGAGATGGTGCAGTATGTCAAGTTCCACAACGTGCCTTCCTCAGGCATTTTCTTCCTCAGCCATCTTTCAGATAGTTTTGATGATATTTAACTTTCACCTTTCTTCTTAAGGCAAATGTAAGCCACATACTTAAGAAGGTGATTTCGTCATATTTAACAATGAAGGTGAGGCTTATAGTGGTTTGAAAGAGTTGTCTAGGGGCCAAAATCTCCTTCATGCAAGAGCCAGAGTGAGGACCAGAATACTGTCCTCATGAACCTCAGCTAGTGCTCTTCACAGCTTTGCGCCACTCCTTGACAAGTGTTCCAGAACGCGGTCCTTAATATCTGCCTATTATAGAATAGCTCTCAATGTCCTAAAAGTTAACTTAGTATTTATTATCAGTTATTGCACCTACTTAATGCAAGCCACTGTGGAGGATATAAATATCACCAAATGCAGAGGGGCACTGCATTTACTTTGGTCGGATATATCATAGAGAAATAGCTGATTATATATCTCAATCCTTCCTTTTTGTTCAAGGTGGAGCATCCATTTCCTTCATTCTCAAGGACCACCACTTTATTTTTATCCTTATTTAAGTCTGCCTGTAACTTGACACCATAGCTGAAATTCTTTATGCTATAATCCTAAACACAGAGGGCTGGTGGAAGAAACTGGGCTTCTTATTAGGTGAGGGACACCCTCGCATAAACACAAGGGAGCTTGCAGGGAGTAAGGGCAAATGAGAGGACACACAGCCAGTTACCAGGATTCAGAACAAAGCCCTGAGCTTGCCTGCAGACTATGGACTGGCCTGCCTCTCCCACCCGGTCTCGCCCCATAACTCCGATTTGCCTCTGTCCAGACAGGCTTCCTTCCAGACGCCCGCCTGGACCTGCTGTTCTCCCTGCACCACAGGTATGCTGGGTTCTGCCTTCTGCCTGAAATGCCCTTCTCTTATCCTGGTTAATTTCTACTCAGCCTTCAGATTTCAAGTCTGTTGTCACTTCCCCAAGGCAGCCTCATAAGTCTTAGACCACCACATACCTTCAGAGTCAGATGTAGTGAATCTCACCATTTGCCTTATCGTGTAGGAGCTATTCATCAAAGTGAATGCCCAGTTTAGCCCAATGGCTTAAACAAATCCTGCTTTAAGGTCTCACCAGAGAAATTTTGTCAGAATTACTGGAACTAACTATACATCCAACAATCCACTTGTCGATCCATCCATGCATGCATCCAACTAACTGTTCACCAACATTCACCAGGAGTCCTATAGGAACCAGTCACTGTGGTAGGTACAAGGGATACAGGCTGCCTCCTGACCAGATATATTTGGAGTAGCTAATGAAGTTTTCTCAACCTTTAAGGCCAATCCCAATCACTATTGGCCTTTCTGGAATGGTGTCTACATTACCCTGACTGGCCCTAGGGTTTTTGTTGTCTTTCAGGACCGCATCTA